CAACATACGAGATGGACTGATCTCCAAATCACAGTGGCTAGGTTAATGGCTGTTCAAAATTTCACCTAAATCAGCATTTAGACTGTTGTATACCAAAATTCAAGGACAGCATAGCAGAGGTTGCCGGAAAATTAGACTTAAAAGGAGATTTGTGTCCTTACTTCTGAATTGTCCTTGGAACTCCCTGGCTAACTTTTTTCAAACAAATCACCCCAAAAAATAATCTAGCAATATTAGAAAATAATGGTTCAGACACTGAAAACGCTCAGAATCTCCAGTATCCAACCTGCAATCTGCAGAAGGTAGTCTTAACTCTTATCCCAAGTATTTTGCTAGAAATGTTGAAGGCAACTGAATCCTGACTTTTGCTGGGATAAAAGCTGTCTTGACTGCACAGTAAAAAGGAACTCAATCAAGAAATCTTTTCAGGGGCAATAGGGTACATCTTGATTTGCTACTATTTCCAGGTCAGTACTATTTACTCTTCGTATCTCATACCTACAGAAGTATTTACTAAGGCTAGAAGTGTCACCAGTTTTACCACAGGAACTTGTTTACTGGAAAATATACACAGTGTCATTTATGATATCTGTTTCAAGCGTTTTGGTCATAAAACCAGAAATTGCAAGCAACTGAGGGAACACTTTATTCATTACAGAGAACATGGGAGACCAGCACAGTGACAAAGGCTTGCTCTTGTAGTCATCTGAGCACAGGCACATCAGGGTCTTACACACAAAATCATGTTTTCGCTGCGTGTGTTTGGCGTGTGTAGCTCTAGCTGTATCTCCCTGGGTTCTCAACACTGAAATTCCTTCTTGGTCATCTATGTTCACTTGGGAAGTTGTCCAGCCTTCTGGGAAAAACTGCTGGGAGGGCACTGAAGGACTATGAGTACTTAAAGTGATCTTCCCTGAACCCTCAAAGCAAAGCAGGAAAGTTTAAATCCAGACAAAAGTTCGTTCTGTGCTTTAACACAAAGTGATACCTAAAGCTGGGTATTGCCATAACCTCGACGCAAAACTTTTCACAGAGTGTGAACAACACAGTTCAGTGTAGGCAGTGGTGATGGAGCAGGTGCGATGATGTGAGGGACCACACCCACTCCCTCATCCCTTCCATGTTGCTCAGCTCACTTCTCTTCCTTGCAATACAAACAAGTGTGGATGGCTCCACAGAACAAAAAGGAATGGATCTGAAAGTTGTGTTTAACCTTTGTAATGTGGAGGAAAAGACATCAGTTGTCATGACTATGTTGGCACAATGCCTCAAGCAGCAGCTTTACCTTTGCACCTGCCCAGCTGTGGGAAGCCCTTACGGCCCCATTCTTGAGTCAGTAGGAATGAAAAGGGCTGGAATGCAATACAGGCTCTCTGCTTACTCCCACCAGTTCACCTTTGAGTGAATTTCATTTCCAAGCTTTCATTATATTTTCCCATCCCTAAAGCTTGGATAGACCACAGACCAGCTTTTCATGCTCAAGCAGTCTTAAAGACCCCTTAAAAACATGGCTTAATCAAGATTACATGAAATAGGTTGTCATCTGCGAAAACCATGTCTCTAGTATCTCAGTCTGATGTGACTGAATCACAGTGTACTGTCTGGCTGTCACCTTCTGGTGTCAAGAACTGTACAGGAGCTCTCAACTCTGTCCACAGAGACGAACACACAGAAAAAGCATTACACAAAACTTCTCAGTGCCAGATGAGCTTCCTGCTAACTGCAGTTCCCATGCACCAAGTTACAAGGCAGAAAGAGTTTTAGCACTAGGAGGAATATGCGTTTGTGCTCGTGTAGGCCATGGAGACCATGACAGCTCGTCCAAGGCCCACTTCTCAGGTACAAGCTGCAGCAGTACAGGACAGCAGTTGTGCAGCAAAACTGTTTCACCATAGGATGCTAAGTCACCATCTTAGGAAAACATGTTACTGCCTGCTATATGCTGAGCTGTTCTCCTTTGTGAGCCTGCCAACTGGCAAACCGCGTTGCCGGCACACACATCTCCCTGAATCGAGTCCAGAAAGGATACACAGATGTTCACTTACATGTACATATTGACAGCTGAGACTGCCTCAGCTTCTCTTCTCGCTTTTAACCACCCTGAACTGAAAGCTCGCTGCAGCTCTGACCACGGTCCCGGCTCGGCCCGGCAGCGCCGTCACCAGGGTCACCTCGCGGCGGTGCCGAGGGCCAGGGCCGTTTCTCAGCGTTCCTCCCAAACGCCCGCTGACCCGGCCCTGCACAGAAGCCCCGCGGCCCCAGGCCT